ATTTTCTCTTTTCAACACAATAAAAATTTTTTACTTGCATAGAGCTCAAATTCAAAATGTGAGAAAGGATTATCTATCTCAGGTATTCCTGTTTTTCTGGTTTTTGTGACTAAATATTTAGTTTTTTTTTAAACACTTTCAAATCTCAAATTTTGAAGATTATTATTATTTTTCTTCTTTTTCTAGTGAGTTTCCGGATATAACATTTTATACACCTGAGATGATTGTATCTTTTCCACCTTGGCAGACAAAATTTTTTTGTTTTTATATCTAGTTTCAGGCTCCAAAAAGGATAAAAAAAAATAACTTTGGTTGTAGAGACTTTATCCCTATCAGTTCAAAATTCAAAGATGTAGCTATTTAATTAAACTGTGCCTTTTTGCAAATTCTAATATTGCGTGTTTTTAACAACATAAAATTGGAGCCTCTATTTCACAAGCTTTTGCAAATTAATGTTTTATTCGTTATATATATATATATATATATATATATATATATATATATAAAGTAAATGTCTTCATTTAGATCTGTTTTTTCTTTTATATTTTTAAAAAACCATTTTAGTAACTTCCTATGTTTGACTAATTATTATTTTTCCTTGTGCAAATTTTTATTATTTTTCAATAATTTTTATATTCTAATTTTATTTTATTAATTTTTATACAATTTTAACTTTCCTATTTTATTAATATTATTATTATATATTATTATAATATATATTTACATATTTATATATTATTTATATATTAGGTTGGTGCAAAATAATGACGTAAATAATGTCGTTTTTTGACGTACTTTTCTACGTCAAAAAACGACATTCTTACGTCATTATTTTTGCACCAACCTAATATATTATTTATTATATTATATTTTATACAATTTTAACTTTCCTATTTTATTATTTTATTTATTATTATACTGACAAAAAAATAATGTTTAAAATAAAATGATTCCATTACACTCAGTGTATAAATACTGTGGAATATTATTGTATTATAATATTATAGTATCTTAAAATTCAGTATTCTGAATTAAGATAAATTTCATTTGCATTGTTCACAAATTTTATTCCAAATTTTAAATTCTTTATTTTGTTTATATTTCTTTATCATTCTGATTTTTTTAATTTATTATGGTCATTAAGTTTTGAAAGATTATTTCCTATATATTTTGCAGTTTTTGATTAATAAATGTTTTTTTCCTTCTTTTTCTTCTATAAAGGAAAAAAGGTAAATTTTGAGTTTCTTTTTCTAAGTTATTAATGGCTTCAAATTTTAAATAATTTTTAATAAAGTTAATTTAAAGAAATAATTAAATTTACTAATTTCTATAATTTCATTTGAATTAAAGATTTTTTTTGTTTCTTTACCTCATCTTGATTACAGCAAATTTTATTAACATTAATTTTATGGGGAAACCTTAAAAAATTAACAATTATTTTAAAAACATTATTTTTATATTCTAATTTTTTTTTAATTAATTTTCATACATTTTTAACTTTTTATAACATTGTTATTTTAACCATTTCTATATTGAATTAATAAAATTGATTTATTACTTATCTTTATTTTTTGCTCCATTAGCCAATGAAAATAAAATTTTAACTGAAAATGTTTAAAAAATCTTTTATAAAATGAAAATAAAATAATATATTTTGGATGCAAGAAGAATTGAAAAGAATTTTTTGAGAAAATTGATAAATGATTTTTTAATTTTTCAGTTCTTAGAAATTTAAATACTTAACCCTTTGCACTCTGCATTATTAATATTACTTCCCTTTCTACTGCATTCCTTTTCAAGTCTTCTCAATTGCAGAATCCTTATTGTTAATTTCACTCAAAGGTGTCAGCAACTTATGCTTGTTGACAAGTTTAGTTTATTGATAGATGATAAAATTCTAAAAACAGAAAAAGGAAGGTCATATGGTTCAACCCACCCTACTGCAAACTTTCCAATATTAATATAAGTCATTTCTTCTTAAAATTAATCGATAAACATTTTGATGGCAAGAATCCTTTATCAAAAATTTTTAATAGAAAATCACTTAAAATTAGTTACTCTTGAGTTAACAATGTTGAGAAAATCAACTCAGCCCACAAGATACTAAATAAATTTCATAACAGTGAAGTAATGGATATTAAATCCACATGCAATTGCAGAAGGACAATTGTGTGTCCTTTTGGAGGTAAATGCAGGTCTAAAAACGTGGTATATGAAGCAACAATTTTCCTTAGAAAATGTAGACTTGAAGAAGACCTACATTGGAATATCTGCAGGAAACTGGAAGCAATGATTATATAATCACAGACACTCCTTCAGCAATAGGTCTCTCAAAAACCAAACAGCTTTATCCAGATATTATTGGGATCTTATTGACAATGGTCTCACACTGCAATTAGAGTGGAAATTCATAGTCAGAGCTCAAACTCCTAAGAACTTCATGGACCATTGTAACCTTTGTCTGCTGGAGAAAATACTTATAATTAAATATAAAAACCAGGAGAATTTACTTAACCTTCAAAGTGAACTCATATCAAAATGCAGACACAAACACTGCCTTAAAAATAGAAAAGTACGCTTTTTCCTTGATTATATAAATTCCTATCTGTATCTACATTACTCTAATGTTATAGTATATGTTCACATAGAAATATTTATTGCAATCTAACATTTATGGTTGTGATATATGTGTGTGTGTGTATATTCTAATATGTATGGTTAATGGAATATGGATTTGTGTGTGGGGAAAATGTGCATGTGTGTGAATATGTATATATATGTATTCATATGTTTGTGTATGGGAATATTTTGGGTTTCTTGATACATATAGGTGCGTTTGTGAGAATATTGTGCTTAGAAATACATAGATGTGTGTGTATATGTGTATATGGACAGATGAAAACTGATAGGATTATTGATCTGTAATTTGTGCTTAGACATATATATATAAATATGCGAATGTATGGTGCTAACTGAAATTATTGTTAACCATGCATGTTATAGATTTATTATGTTGTTTACTTCTTTATACTAGTGATATATCCATTATGACTATCCTTGTTGCAGTGTATGTATTCTGGGTGAAGAAAAAATATAAATGTGTGTATATATACTAAATCTTAATAAATACATCTAGGATATAAAAGTTTATGACTCTAGGTATATAACCTTTATAAATATGTTTCTCTGAATATAATTAATCATTTAATTCAATTCTCTTAGGCTTTTTAACTTAAATTTCTTGGTTAATTATACAAAAAGCTTATACTAATTTACCTTTCATTTTTAAAAAAATTTTTTCTCTAATTTCAAAAAACTTTTAAAAATGTTTTGAATCAGACAATTTTTTAATATTATTTACAGAGACTTTGTTGAATGAAATACAGGGGATTAACCCCAATCTAATGTTTCCTTACTTGAGAGTACATTCATATCCTGCTAAATATTAATAAATACATTTAGGATATAAAAGTTCAGGACTCTAGGTATATAATACACTGCGTGCCAAATTATTATCGAGATAACTTTTTTTCTAATATTTCAAAAACTGTCCAATCAATTCACACAAAATTTTCACACAATGTTGGCAACACTGAGCTGCGCAATCACTGAAATTTTTGTATTGATCTGCGCAACGAGTATTTTTCATTTCATTTGTGATTTGTTTGTAAAGTCTTGAAAATTGAGAGCTGCTTTTTTAGAGCTGCCATGAAATAAAAATTATTACCTATGGGATCTTGAGTGTATGATATTCTTTAATTAATAATAATTTTGCTCTGTCTTTTGATATAGAGCTCTCCCTGGATCTATATCCTCCTGGAAAATCCATATGGATTACTATATTGTATCATTACTATATGTGTGTGTTTGTGTGTGTATATATATAATTATGACAGCTCTGTTATCTAGCATTGAGCAGTTTTTCTTACACCAAATGATATTTGTATTTGTATACTTACATGTACATTTATTTATATTATTTATTTGTGTGTATGTGTGTGTGATATATATACCCACAGACATACATACAGAGTCTACCAAAAAATGTATACACACTTCAGGAAAGGATGAAATTCTATAGATATTGTAATACTAAATTTATTTGATTAATACAAGTTACCTTTGGACTCTACAATCACAAGAAATGATCAAAATCGTGGTCTTTAGCTTCCAGGCATTTATTAGTATGGCAAATTACTACTTGGGAAAAGTTGGCCAAATTGTCCAGTAAGATTGCTACTCATGCATTTTCAATTTCTTGTCTAAGAGCTCCCAATGTAATGCAATCTCTCAAGAAAATATAGTGGTACAGTAAACAGTGTTATCACAATTTGCCAAAACTATGAAAGACAAGTTTTTCCTTTCCTGAAGTGTGTATACATTTTTGTTAGGACTCTATAATTCTCATTTTCATGCTGGCAATACTGGATGCAGGTATGAAGTCATGTACTTCTGCATTTGGTGGCCAGGAATTACCCCAGCCCATCCTCTGCACCTGATTTCCTCTGATATCTGGTAAGTGCAATGTCCATTTAAGCACAATACCTTATAAGTGGGGTGCAATTATGGGTGCTAAAAAGTTCTATTTCTCAAAATATGACAATCCTTTTTTTTTTCTTTTTTAAGCCATTGTTTTTTTGTTTTTTTTTAAGTAGTAGGGAAGAAATTATATGCTGTCAAATTGGCAAATATCTATGATATGTCCCAGAAAGGAATATATTTGTTTAAAGTAGCAAAGTGGTTGTTGACTACTGTAACCAGGTAGGACAATCTAGCAGGTAACCGTAATGACTGGTCCTCGTTGTAGTGGTAGGCAATAGGCGTAGTCAATAGGTGTCGTCCCTGTACCTCCACACCAACCAATCATATTACTGTGAGGGGGAACCCAGGTGTATGCATATTCATTACATCAATCTACTATTGTAATTTTTTTTTAGTTTTGTTTTTGGGTTGTTTTTTTTTTATTTTTTTGATAATTTTTGTTTCTTTTTTTCTTTTAGGATTGCTGCCTAAAGTGCTCTTCCTTCATTGTAGTCTCTTTCAAAAAGCTTTCAAACAGGATGGCATGTTTCAAAAAACCTGATCACTTAGTTGAACCCATCCTGTTTATTTATATGTTGACACTGTTCCTACAGTTTCCAGCCATACAAGCCTTGATATACTTAAAATTTTGTTCACAAAACTACAATGAAACCGTCTGCAATAATTTATCAAGCATCACTTACAAGTCCGAAGAGAATAATGTACAGAAAAACACTTCACACTGGATCCTGTACCAAAACTTGGCCTTATTAGTACCTTCTATTTTCTCAGCAATGAAACTTGGACGCATTGGAGACACAGTCAGCCGGAAATGGACAATCCTGTTGCCAATCATTGGACAGTTTTTGTGTAGCATTATCTATTTGATAAATGCTATCTATGTTCAGATTAATCTTTCATACATACTAATTGGACCATTACTAAGTGGCCTTTGTGGAGGATTCACTTCTTTGATTATGGGAATTTACAGCTATGTGAGCCACACAACAGAAATAAAAGCTAGGACCGTCCGAATGGGAATTTTGGAATCAATGACATTTTTTTCTGGAACTCTTGGAGTCATCCTGGTAGGCGTGCTTCTGGATAACTTTGGTTTCATTGTTGTCTTTGGGATCGTATTTGTTCTTAATTGTATTGCCTTGTCGTATACAATTTTTGTCATTAAAGACATCACTCCTGAGAAAGTCTTAACAAGGCAGGAGATTATTAGCGATATTTTCAGTTTGGAGGGATATCGGACTGCTTTCAAGTTCTTCTACAAAGCCAGAGGTAGAAACCAAAATTTGATTTTGGCACTTGGAACGCTGGTTATTTGTATTTTAATGTTTAGCACTGCTGGTAAGTGATCCTTTTATCTAATCTACATATTTATAAGATGTGGCAAAAAAAAAAAAAACTTGTTCAGTCAATATTCTTTGGTAATTACTAGTTAATTATAATTAACATCGAAAATTAACATATGAAGTGATGTTAGAAAGTTTTTAAATTGTATGGAATGCAGCCTACTAAATCAATTTGCCAATAGGCTTTACACTACTCTTGTTCATTAATTACACCATGGTTTCTAATATTGTGGAATGGCTCTGCAAACTTTACAATAGCAGAAAAATTCAGCCAACATGCTGTATTAAATTTTGAAGTTCAGCAATCTGATACAGTTTCAAAATGCTTTGTCAGGCTTTTGGTGAAAATTTTTTTTTTTTAATGGTCAGAGAGAAGTCTTAAGTTGAATTAGTCATCAGAAACTGTCAAAAATTACAAACTTACCAATGGTGTCTTGCCATACAATCTATCAGCTCTCCTATAAGGATGGAATCAGTTATGTAGTAACTTAAACATGTAAAAGAAATTCCCTTACTCATTCACCTGTCTTCCTCACCAAGCTACATGCCACTTAGACTTTCTTCCTCACTTTCTCCCTTGCCTCTTTTTTTCTATCACACATACACACAAAGAAATCTCATTTCTTTTCATTTTAACAAGGAACATTCAACACAGAGAGTGACCAAATCTGGCAGGCCTAAACATAACAAAACATACATAATATATTGATAATATACTCATTAATATCTCTATCTTTCCCTCAACTCTAAATCTTAGAAGGGTATTTGTGGAGTAAGGACAGAAGTAAGTATCAAAACAATCAAATACCAAATGACAAAAAAAATGATTTCTGAGTCAGTGGATTTGTGCATCTTTCTGGTTAATAAATAAATCCTTTAAAAAAAATAAATATTTAACATTTTTTAACCAATGGGTCACATTACCACCAACAATAAAAAATATGCTTCATGATCCCTTTGAAGAATATATAAACAAAGTCTTTAGACCAAAAAAGCAGTAAGAAGTAATGGCAACATACAGCAACACATGTATCATGTAGCTGTAAAATTTATGAACATCTTGCAGCTACTGGACATGTGCATTTAGCATTTCATTGCATTTTAAGAACTCGAAATGAATCATACCTGACACTCTCTTGACATGCAGAACTTTAGCTTTCTTTCATGGTGCTCAGTTTTCTGGGTGTGGTCAGTTGTAGAGATTGCTCTGAACATTTTCATATGTTAGTGTGCTCCAAATTTATTCTTAACTAACATGTATAATTAGTAATTAGTGGTGTGCAGTAATATGAATCTATTTTCGGGGTGTATGATGAAATTTGTTTGACCTTGAAAAATATTGTGTTATCCGTGATTGCATTAGATTTTCATAATGCCCAGACACTATTGTCTTGACTGTCGATTAGTTGTCCTATAGCCATTGTCTGCAATGGATGTTACTCCAAGGAAGTGTACAAAAATTGTAACACTGCACAAATACACTAGCAAGCCTTACCAGTGATCTAATCAAAGTACAGGGTGTAATCGATTTCTATTTTTTTCCTCAGATTAGGTCATTTGCAGTGGTGTGTAGTAATATGAATCTACTTTCGCGGTATATGATGAAATTTGTTTGACCTTGAAAAATATTGCATCATCTGTGATTGCATCAGATTTTCATCATGCCCAGACACTATTGTCTTGACTGTTGATTAGTTGTCCTACAGCCATTGTCTGTGATGGACATTACACCAAGGAAGCGTATGAAAATTGTAACACTGCATGAACACACTGGGAAGACTTATTAGTGAGCTAATCCAAGTATTATCGACTGGCTCAGAAACTCTCCTGATTTAAATCCAATCGAGAATCTATGGTCAATCTGCAAGGAATGACATCATAGAATGGTCATATGGAGTACTAACATGTGCACTGGGTATGTTTCATTGGAAAAATATGAAAAAAGTAAATAATAATGGAATTATTTGTTTTGTTTTAATTAATTTGCACAAGGGTGTACATCATTACAATTGGTTCCTCAAAACAGAAATTACTTATGACTTAACCAAATAGATAATTTAATGATATACCATCTATTTTCCATGCCTTTTTTTGTTTTGACAATAAAATCAATTAAAAATATATTGGTTCAATGCTTAATGCTTTTCATGTTCTTCATATTGTCTATACAACAAATTCTGAAAACCTAGATAAATTAGTGATATAGCTTCTGCTTTCTCTGTTACTCATGTTAACACTTCTATAAAATCACCAAAAATAAATTGGCCCTATAATTTCTTGACCCTCGTATTGCCTCCACAACAAAGTCACCCAAGCAGATTAGTGATATATGTCTTCCGCTTTACTTGGTTTTAATGTTGTCTCTACAAAAAAAATCACCCAAACAAATATAAAAACGATGTATGAAAATATATTCAAATTTACAATATATCTTCAGCATTGCTAGCTCTTCACACTGCCTTTACAACAAGATCAACCAAATATAGTTTGGTCTTATATTTTCAGTTTTCTCTTTTCTCACAACAAAATCTCCAAATAAAAAATCTTCTGATTTCCCTTCTTGTCTTTGTTCTCCAATAACAAAATCACCCAAGAAAAATGATCAAATTGGTCTACTTTTCTCTCCACCTAGATCAAGATCACACAGATATAAATTAGCAATATACAATCTTCTCTCCATCTTTATCATATTGCCTCCACAAAAAGCTCACCCAAGTAAATATAAATTTGCAATATATGTTCAGCTTTCCTTCCATGTTATATTGCCTGCACAACAAAATCACTCCAAATTGTCTCTAAATCTGCTTTCACTGCTTCTCATAGTACTCCAGCAGCAAAATCACCCTAATATAAATAAATAGATATATCTGCTTACTCTTAATCTCATATTGTTGGCTCTATTTCTACTTTCCCTGCTCATCATGTGGCCTCCACAATTAAATCACCCAAGTAGATATGAATTAACAACATATCTTTTGCTTTCCCTGCACATCATTTTGCCTACACAATGAAATCACCCAAGTAGATATGAATTAGCAACATTTTTTGCTTTGCTCCTCATGTTGCCTCAACAATGAAATCACCCTAGTAGAAATAAATTGGCAACAGAAAGTTTGCTTTCATTACCCATGTTGCCTCCACAGCAAAATCACCCAAGTATAAACTGGCAATATCTTCAGTTTTCTTTTTCACATACTGCCTCCAGAACCAACTCACCAAAACAACTATAAAAAATCGTCTTTGTATCTTCTGCTTTCCCTGTTACTCTTATTGCCACTTCAACAAAATCACCCAAGACAAAAATTGTCTCTATCTTTTTCCTCACCTGATATTGCTTCTACAATAGGATTGCACAGATATAAATTAGCAATGTATCAATTGCTCTCCATTTTCCTCACATTGACTCCACAATCACCCAAACAAATATAATTTGGTAAGACATCTTTAGTTCCTTCCTTCTAATATTGTCTCAATATAAAATTCACCCCAAAATAAATTGGCTGTATAGCGTCTGCTTTCTCTGCTTCTCATAGTACAGTAAAATCACCCAAATATAGATATTATCTTTTGCTTTCCCTCCTCCTCATCCTGTCCCCTCAAGAAAAATCACTAGACCAAATACAAATAAATTGATTCTATATCTTCAGTTTTATCAGTTCCTCAGTTACCAACAACAAACAAAATCACCCAAACATAGAAATCTGGGATCTATTTTTGCTTTTCCTACACATCTTATTACCACCATAGCTGAATTAAATATAAAATGACTGTATATATATTTTCTGCGTTTTTGGTGATTTCACTCCAAGCAAGGCAATAAAGCCACTAAGATGCAAGGTTTTACTGAGAGTTAAAGAAACTGACAAAATGTTATTGTGAAGAGAGAGGACAATAAAAGGATAGGATTCAAAAAGACAGAAGATGATGATTGATGTTGCATTTAATGTTTTGAAGATTATAGTTGACAAGAAAGAAAGAACCAGAAGTTCAACAAGTGATAAGTGCAAAAGAGGAAACTATTAGCATAGAAATTAGTTACATTTAGCAATTTCAATAGTAAAATGATGCTTCTCCACTTTACATATTATGCCCACAGCAAAACCAGCCAGGAAATATATTTTTGGGGTTTTCAGTGTTCCTTATACTTGCTCCACAAAAAGTAACCCAAATATAAAAATGGCTCTGTATCTTCTACTTCTGTTACTCTTATTGCCACCACAGCACCCCACAAAAAACACTCAAATTCTCTTTTTATATTCTGATTTCCCTGCTCATAATAGTGTTTTTTTTCAACAAAGAATCTGCAATGTTATATGTCTTGACCTGGCATCTCGACTTCAGCCACTTTCTCACCACCATAATGTAGCTTTCCTGTGCCTTTTCTATAAATAGTTTCATGGTAATTGTTTGGATGAACTTCCTCTATGGTACTTTGACTTTATGAATTTAAGTGCAGTACTAGATCTCATTATTTTACAGTTGAAATGGCGAGATGAACCATAAGTTCTATTTTAATAGTTTCTTCTATTGCACTTCTTAGTTGTGGAACTCACTTCTAGATTCTTGCTTCTCAGTCAACTTTGATCTTCAAAACTTTAAATGCAATATCAATCGTTATCTTCTGTTTTCTTAATTCTAGTATTTTTTCTTTTATTCTCTAACATTCAGTAACCCACTATGCCTTAGTGGCTTTATTGCCTTACTTGAGGTGAAATCATTAAAAAAATTGGCGATATCATTTGATTCCTCAGTTCCTTATATTGACTCAATAAGGAAAACATCCAAACAAATATAAATTGTCTTTATATCTCCTTATGTCCTGCATTGTCATATTGCTTTCACAACAAAATCACCCTAATATAAATAAATTTCCTTTATACATTCATCCTTTCTATATTTTTATATTGTTTCTACAACAAAATCACCCAAATAAACATAATTAAATTCACTTTATGTCTTCTTTCATGCGTCATATTGTTTCCGCAACAGAATCACCCAAGTATAAATTGTCTTAATACCTTGTTTTTTCTGCATCCTCATATAGTTTCTACAACAAAATCACCCAAATAAATGTAATTAAATTCACTTTATATCTTCTTTCATGTTTCATATTGCTTCTGCAACAGAATCACCCAAGTATAAATTGACTTAATACCTTGTTTTTTCTGCATCCTCATATAGTTTCTACAACAAAATCACCCAAATAAATGTAATTAAATTCACTTTATATCTTCTTTCATGTTTCATATTGCTTCCGCAACAGAATCACCCAAGTATAAATTGACTTAATACCTTGTTTTTCTGCATCCTCATATAGTTTCTACAACAAAATCACCCAAATAAATGTAATTAAATTCACTTTATATCTTCTTTCATGTTTCATATTGCTTCCGCAATAGAATCACCCAAGTATAAATTGACTTAATACCTTGTTTTTTCTGCATCCTCAACAAAATTTCTACAACAAAATCACCCAAAAAGATATTAATAAATTTGCTTTATACATTTGTCTTTGCTACATCTTGATATTGTTTCTACATCAAATGCACTGAAAGAAACATAAATAATTTGGTTTTATATCTTCTTTTGTACCTCCTCATTTTACTTTCACAACAAAATCACCCAAACATATATCAATAAATTTGCTTTATTCCTTTGTCTTTCCTACATCTTCGTATTGGTTCTACAACAAAATCACCCAAATATAAATAAATTGGTTTTATATCTTACTCTTTCTTTCATCCACATATTGCTCACACAGCAAAATCAACCAACTAAATATAAATAAATTCACGTCAGTAATCATGATATTGCTTCCACAACATATAAGTTTCCTTTCTTTCTTTTTCCTTCTTGCACCTTCATATTGTTTCCACAACAGAATCACCCAAACACATATAAATTTGCTTTATTTCTTTTTCTTTCTTTCTTGCATGCTCACATTGTTTCCACAACAGAATCACCCAAACAAATATAAATAAATTTGCTTTATATCTTGTTTCACTATTGCTGATATTGCTTCCACAACAAAATTACCTACATATAAATAAATTTGCTTTATTTCTTTCTTGCTCCCTCACATTGTTTCCACAACAGAATCACCCAAACAAATATAAATTTGCTTTATTTCTTTTTCTTTCTTGCACCCTCATATTGTTTCCACAACAGAATCACTCGAAGAAATAGAAATAAATTTGCTTTATTCCTTTTTCTTTCTAGCAACCTCATATTGTTTCCACAACATAATCAGCCAAACAAATATAAATTTGCTTACTTCATTTTCTTTCTTTCACCCTCATATTGTTTCCAAAACAGAATCACCCAAACAAATATAAATTTCCTTTATTTCTTTTTCTTTCTTGCACCCTCATTTTGTTTTGACAACAGAATCACCCAAACAAATATAAATTTGCTTTCTTTCATTTTCTTTCTAGCACCCTCATATTGTTTCCACAATAGAATCACCCAAACAAATATAAATACATTTGCTTTATATCTTGTTTCAGTAATCTTGATAATGCTTCGACAACAAAATTACTCAAATATAAATAAATTTGTGTTATTTCTTTTTCTTTCTTGCACCCTCACATTGTATCCACAACAGAATCACCCAAACAAATAATAATAAATTCACTTTATTTCTTTTTCTTTCTAGCACCCTCATACTGTTTCCACAATAGAATCACCCAAACAAATACAAACAAATTTGCTTCATTTCTTTTTCTTTCTTGCACCCTCGTATTGTTTCCAGAACAGAATCACCCAAATATAAATAAATTTGCTTTATTTCTTTTTCTTTCTTTCTTGCACCCTCATATTGTTTCCACAAAGGAATCACCCAAACAACTATAAATAAATTTGGTTTATTTCTTTTTCTTTCTTGCACCCACATATTGTTTCTACAATGGAATCACCCAAACAACTATAAATAAATTTGCTTTATTTCTTTTTCTTTCTTGCACCCACATATTGTTTCAACAACAGAATCACCCAAACAAATATAAATACATTTGCTTTATATCTTGTTTCAGTAATCTTGATATTGCTTTGACAACAAAATTACTCAAATATAAATAAATTGGCTTTCTTTCTTTTTCTTTCTTGCACCCTCATACTGTTTCCACAATAGAATCACCCAAACAAATACAAACAAATTTGCTTCATTTCTTTTTCTTTCTAGCACCCTCGTATTGTTTCCAGAACAGAATCACCTAAATATAAATAAATTTGCTTTATTTCTTTTTCTTTCTTTCTTGCACCCTCATATTGTTTCCACAAAGGAATCACCCAAACAACTATAAATAAATTTGCTTTATTTCTTTTTCTTTCTTTCTTGCATGCTCACATTGTTTCTACAACAGAATCACCGAAACAAAGATAAATAAATTTGCATTATATCTTGTTTCAGTTATAAATTTTCAAATATAAATTTGCTTCATTTCTTTTTCTTTCTTGCACCCTCATACTGTTTCCACAGCAGAATCACCCAAATATAAATAAATTTGTTTTATTTCTTTATCTTTCTTGCACCCTCATATTGTTTCCACAACAAAATTCCCCAAATATAGATAAATTTGCTTTATTTCTTTTTCTTTCTTGCACTCTCATATTGTTTCTACAACAAAATTATTTCTGTCAATCTGAGGATGTACAAAGGAAGTAGTTATAAAAACCAAAACATGGCTCTGTGCTGTGTTTGACACATCTGTATTAAACAATCTTTGTAACTTGTGTGACATGGGTAACTCTGCCTTTTAAATATTGCGTTCTCTACTCCTTTTCTTGCTAAACAATGAAATGTACATTGGTTTTAGACATATATTTTTCTGCTAGGTGAATATACTCAGCTTGTTTCAGTTTTCTCATCTTTCATCTATCTTTCTAATCTGTTTTTTTTTGACTAAAGAATGCATTGAACAAAATGTTATAGCAACAACTAAAACAATGTAGTCACTCATATGAACAAGAGAAAATGATTTTTAAAATCTATTTAAGTGAGTTCATTAAATTCACTTATTCACAAATACCCTTGGGAAAGGTATGAATTCAGCTATGGATTGAATAGCAGGACAGACTTGGTTCTTTAGTCTTGGTTGGCAACCATTCTACTATAGAAAGAAATGGGAACCTACTGCAGGAAAAAATCTGCCTTGTCATTCATGTATCAAAAGATACATGATCGCCCAACTAATATGCCAATGGCTAATCTATGTAGATTATAATTGACCTCCCGCCTGTCAAAGTATCCATGATATGTACCAAAGATAAAACATATTCCAGAATTATTTTGGACTAATATCCTGATCTCTGTTACTTTATTACATGAGGAACTAATAAGACAATGTTTATAAATTTAATGCATTCACTTTTATTTTAGCTTCATTATAGACGTTTACCTGTTCCTTATTTACCTTTTAAACTAGTGTATAATACTTAATTTCATGTATAATGCAACTGACAGATTTTTTAGTATGCACTTTAACCTCTCCAGAAAAAATTTATCTGTGTATAGTGTAACTGGTCACCGAAAATTTTAGACCTCTTCCCCAAAATTACCTGTGTTTAGTTTAAACTCGGCTGATGCAAAGGTCTTGTTCCCCATCTCCTCCACCAACCTTTGATACAGGACCCTCCACCCTAATGCATCTCAATTTTCATAAGTTATTCATATATAATACAAATTTTATTCTAAGCAAATTATGTGTAATAATGGATCATATCCAATAGATGTAAATAATTCAACAAAAAAAAATTGGAAATACAATGTATCTAAACACAAATTAAAAACCTAAATCATTCCATTTTAAATAAATCAACAATGTTTTGCAGTAATTTTTAACATCAACTTAAGATTTTTCTTGCTAAAAAGTTGAATAATTTTAACACATCCAACATTATGAATTAAAAATGTGAATTTTATATAGTGTTTTTTTTTTTTTTTTTGAGACTTAGCATGAACAAAACAAATTCATGGATTTGGACAAAAAAAGACCTCAGAATGGCGTCAAAATCTGTGAAAACTTTTCATCGTTTAATAGTCAGTTGTTAGTTTAATTTGTAACATATAAATATAGGTAAAAAAGCAAATGTTGATAAGATAGTAGGGATCACAAAG